AGCAGATCAAGGCTTTGGCAGAGATAAAGACCAGGGGCTGTGCCATCCCCAGTCCCTTCCCTAAGGAACTGGGATGACACAGAGCTTCTCGTGATCTCTTTTCTGATGGGAGCAAGTGTCAAAAACACCAGGGATGTGATGGGGGCTGAAGGAGGAAGAGATACACTGTGATTTGTAGGCCCTTCACTTTGGGCAGGGGGGGCTGGAGGAGAGGAGAGGTGGGAGGCCCTACAGCAGGGCCTGTAGGTATAGGACAAGGGATGATGGTTTTAAACTAAAAGAGGGGAGATTCTGACCAGATATAAGGAAGAATATTTTTTACAATGAGGGTGGAGAAAAACTGGCACAGGTTGCCCAGAGAGGTGGTAGAAGCCCCATCCCTGGAAACATTCAAGGTCAGGTTGGAGGGAGCTCTGAGCAACCTGATCTGGTTGAAGATGTCCCTGGTCATGGCAGGGGGGGTTGGACTAGATGACCTTGAAAGGTCCCTTCCCACCCAAACCATGCTGTGATTCTATGGGCTGGAGGTAGGTGAGAGGACACTAGAGACACCAGACCCAGCAGGCAGTGCAGGCAGCAGTGGGAATTTCATCCTCTGAATGCGACACACGTTGCCAAAATCTTCAGTAGCTGCCTCTTCGTTTTTTTTGCAGATATCAGATCTCTTAATGGTTACTAGTCCCTTGGGCCAGACAAACAACAAGCCATCTCAGGTCATTTACCAGACAGGTCCAGATGCTTTCAGACTGTTCCTGACCAGGAAGTAATTAAGTGGCTTCCTATTTGTATTCTCACAAGCTCCACTTGTCTGCAAGTGCTTGTTAGTCACAATATGAGCTAGAGAGTGTTTGCAGCTCAGCAGCCAGCACTCTATGAAGCCCCAAGGCCCAGTTCATCTCAATGACTGGTAATAAGGCATTCCCCAACCTCATCTGGAGCCAGTTTGATTCACTGGCTATTAGGAACCAAACTCATGAAGCCACAGAGATGCTCAAAGCATGGCTGAAAGCCACTGGCACTGTGGGTGTAGCCCTAAATCCTCCTGGGTTATCTACTTAGAGGCAACATCCTTCTCTCCTGGAGGAGATGCATGCCCAGTGTTTCCCATCCCTCCCAGTCCCTTGGTACTTGCAGTGGTTTTCTGAGGTAATGCACTCCTTGTAGCATATGAGAGGGAAAGGGCAGGTCACTGGGGGCCTGGCAGAGCAGAGAAGTGAGGAGCTACCTGCAGAGGGAATCATAGAATCATAGAATGGTTTGGGTTGGAAGGGACCTTAAAGATCATCCAATTCCAACCCCCCTGCCATCAGCAGGGACACCTTTGAGCAACCACTAGACCAGGTTGCTCAAAGTCTCATCCAACCTGGCCTTCAACGCTTCCAGGAAGGAGCAACCACAGCTTCTCTGGGCAACCTGGGCCAGGGTCTGACCACCCTCACAGCAAAGAGTTTCTTCCTAACATCTCATCTCAATCTCCCCTCTTCCACTTTAAAGCCATCACCCCTTGTTCTATCACTCCCTGTGCTCGTCCAAAGTCCCTCCCCAGCCTTCCTGGAGCCCCTTTCAGGTACTTGAAGGCTGCTAGAAGGTCTCTCGGGAGCCTTTAATTTCTTCCTAATATCTAATCTAAACCTACCCTCTTTCAGTTTGAAGCCATTATGCCTTGTTCTAGGAGGGGTGTTCCAGCCCTCTGATCATCCTCATGGCCTCCTCTGGACTTGTTCCAGCAGGTCCATATCCTTATGTTGGGAGCCCCAGAACTAGACGCAGTACGCCAGGTGGCATCTCAGGAGAGTGGAGTAGAGGGGCAGAATCCCCTCCCTCCACCTACTGCCCACGCTGCTCTGGGTGCAGCCCAGGACACGGTTATTGGCCTCTGTGCTGCCAGCGCACGTTGCCGCCTCACGTTGAGCTTCTCATCCACCAGCACCCCAAGTCCTTCTCCTCAGGGCTGCTCTTGATCCATTTTCCACTCAGCCTGGATTTGTGCTTGGGAAGGTGAGGGTCTCCTGGAGCACGAGCAGAAGAGGAGGAGGGTTGGATTGGAAGTGGAGAAGGCTTCCTGGACTCTTGGTCTGACCCAGGCCAAAAGGCAACATCAGCTGGAAGCAACCCATGTACACAGCGCATGCCCTGTGCCCCTGCCTACCTCAGGCAGCTTGACTCGTCCCTCCTGGAAGGAGCAGGAGCTGGGGTCGTGAGTGCAGACGTGGCGGTACTTGCACCAGTGACACCGGTAAGGGCTCTCCACGCATGACAGGCACCTGGAATTGGAGAGAAAGAGTAGTCACTTGGCAATCCAGGCCCCATCAACCAAAAGGACAGACCTTGAGGCTGATATAGTGTTTCTCAGAGGGCAATATAGCCCAGCAAACATTGTTCTTGCCATCACAAGCAGAAGGGCATTGGCTTTGCACCGACCCAACACCATCAGGTCTCAGGATGATGCTGGACTAGCCATGGCTTGAGTTGGTTGCCACCGTGATCACAAGTGTCTCATATTAATTAGTTAATATAATTGTAACTGGAGTAATAATAAACATGTGTTGGATTTTAGTTGCCTTTTTACAGCTTTTAGTCAGACTGTCAACAAGTTCTCAGCTTCATACATAAGACTTGTTCCCCTTTTTGCTCGTAACAAAATCTTGAGTGTGACAAAAACATAAAAGATCAGGGAATGGTTGGAAACTGCTACAGCCTCACTGCCTCCACGTTGAAGTGCACCAGTGTCCTGGGAGCTGCCAACACATCATGGGAAGGTGGACAAGAAAGAGGCTGGTGGGTAGAATGCTGCCCGTGGAGGGTTGTCCTTGTGCACCAGCAGTCCATCCTCCCACTCTCACTCATGATACAGAGGCCAAACACAAACTGGGATGCACCAAGGTCAGAAAGTCAAGGATGAAACAAGGAATTTTCTCCCTGTGTGTCCCACAAATTTATTACTGTGAAATCTGCACAGGGTGATGGGGTTCCTGCAAATATGTTAACTCTATTCTTCTTTTCTTTGTCTCAGAAGAGAGGGAAAGACAACTGTAGCAGCTGCCCAGGAAGCAAAGAGAATATTTAGGAAGTTACCTATTCAAGGTGAACAAAAGAGCCATTCCCTCCATCTTACAAGGTTTTGCTCTCCTGTGCCCCATAGACTCTGTAGAATAAGAGCTGCAAACACCTCTCCTGACTGTGTCACAGCACTAACTCGTACCTACATCACACTTTTTTTTTTTTTACTATGTATTTAATTCAATATCTGTTCACCAGCAACCAAACTGCGCCATAACAAGCTCTTTGCACAGACAAATGGTAGAGATTCCTGGTCGCTCACACTGTTGGAGATCTTCATGCAGTTGCAGGCTCTGAAGTACCTGGAGGGGACCTGGGGTGGAAAATTTTCCTGGTTCTTATGTATCACCGGGTATTCAATGGGCAGGAGTGAAAAAATTGCCTCCAGTCAAGCTTGGCTGAACCCAACATGCAGACACACACCTTCTCCCCTGTCTCTGTGAAATCTCGTTCAACTCCAATCCACTTTCAGCTCTGGTACAGTGAGCTGTTCTTCAAATTGGTAACAAGTGCTTGCTCTGATACATCAAATTAAAAATGGATCGTGTATTATAGTTTGTCAAGTAAGAAACCAAAACATGCCATAAATATTTAACACCACCATCTCTTCTGCTCTCCCCCCCAACACTTGCTTTCTGACACTGTTTGTCAAAGCAGCAGGAACACGGAAATAGGATTTGCCTTTCCTTGTGAATTGCTGAGCCGCAGTAATTATCTGCTTTTGGCACTTCTTATGGCTCAGTGGTGGGGACAGAGCCACTCAGCCTTGCTCAGGGGTGGATCAACCTACTGGAAGAGCATCTTTCTTCAGGAAAGCTGCAGACTTGCTCCAGTGGGGCAGCTTCTGAGCACTCTTGAGTACCAGCTGAAACCCAGAGGAATAGGGTGCAGGGCAGGAAAGGAGCTCACAGGATGGAAAAGATGGTCTTGAGGGAATCAGCTGGGTGTTCCCTGCTCAGTTCATATAATGCAGGAACCAGCAGCTCCTGTCTTTCTAGATCTGAGGGCCTAAGACCATGCTAACCACCTGGGACAGGCTCATACTTCTGGGACTGACAACATGGATGAGGGCTGGAGGTGCTTATGTGCAGGTAGGATCCAGCAATCCACAAACAGCTGCTTTAGTAGGAAGACAAAGGGGCCATTTGCTGAGGTCATGGAAACTTTTAACTCCCTTCCTTGGCAAACTCCCACTGATGTGATGCTCTTCTGCTTGAGGGACATGTGAG